CGGGTTTCACAGTTTCTTCCTGCAAGAACACTTGTAATTGCCTTCGCAGGTTCCTTTCCACCTGTTTCTTCTCGAATTTATTTTTTGTAGATTGTTCTATTGCATTAATTTTAACCTCTTGTTTGAAAAATTCCCACTTTGTTTCCCAGTCATCTTCTTGATTACCGTAAAGTTTCGTGAGGGCTTCGGTTACATCTTTACCATAACATTCATCTTTCAAGATTTGGCTGTTTAGTTTCCACAAGTGCCAGTTAAATTTAGGAGTCCTGTCTTTAGCGCCAAGTGTGAAACTAATCCTACAGTGGTCGCTGAAAGACACTGGTGTAACAACATATTCATCACAGCACATAATAAGGTCCAGTGATATGTACGCTCTGTCTAAACGTGCGTGGCTTAGACCCTGAAAGTGCGTAAACTGAACACTGCAATTAGACATACATAAACCAACATCTTCCAGGCCATTTTCTGCAACCATCTCATTTAAGAACACTGCGCTTTTATCAAATGACTGGGCCGGCTTGGCACGGTCCTCCTTTCTACAAACACAGTTAAAATCACCAAAAAGGACTACATATTTGTCACATTCCAGTAAGTTACTTATTTCTTCAAAGAAAACTTTCCTTTCACTGTCTCGGTTCGGAGCATAAACGCATATGACACGCCATTCGAAATTCAAGAAAGAAAAATCACACACTACGAAGCGTCCTTTATCGCTGCTTGCTACACTCCTTTCCACAACGCCTATCGATCGTCGTATGAAGAGCGCACACCCTCCTGATAAGCCATCAGCATGGGATACACAGATGTTATACAATGAGCGAAAAGGCAACGTCATATGATTGGTATCTTTCTCTGCCGCTATCTTAGTTTCCTGCGCAGCAATCACATCCAAGTCATGCTCCGAAAACAGCCTACTCAACTGGTACTGCCGCCTTCTTGAAGATAATCCGCGTACATTTAAGCTGGCAAAACGCATTGCTCTTTTAAGCTTCAGGCTCATTTTTTTTTAAACAAGTAGCTGCTCACCATACCGTCTTAGCCGAACTCCGCCTATTTAGTCGTCCGGTGCACTTTCTTGGTAGAAGGCGACACATAATGTGTTGTCAAGAGGCCGGTTTTCCCGTCCTCTTTTCCCCTTCTGTTATATTATGTTTGACCGCCAGTCGTTGCCTCCGAAGGAGAGCTGCTTTCGGTGGCGGTTCTTGATTGCTCATGTCACTTGGTTCTGTTGAGGCTGCGTCTCGTGGTCGTTTCCCTCCCACACCTGGTTCCTCAGCGTCGTGCCACTCCATGGCACCACCCTCGGCAGGTTCCTGGACAGTTTGAGTAGATGTTTCACTCTCGTCTGTAGCAGCGGTTGCGTCGTTTAAAACATCAGTCTCCTTTGCGCTCGTCAGTGATTCTGCGGCCGCTTGCATACACGCCGGTTCACTTGTTTGTCCTGCTTCTTTCACATCCATCACGCCTCCTGTACTGAATGTTTTTTCCACAGAAGTCACCTGTGATTTCGCCAATGCATCCGCGATAGGTTGCACTCCCCCACTGTCAGTTGACCTTGGCGGTTCTTTCTGCAATCGCGTCATGCCTGCTGCACTAGGTGTTTTTCCTTCACAAGCCGCTTTCGATTTCACCGATTCTTCTGCTTCGGTCTTGTCCATAGTGAGCTCGGATTTATCCATGCTCCCGGTGTTCAGTGCAGCAGCTGCATACGTCTTCGTGCAGTTCCCAGGGGCGTGTCCAAAACGCCTGCAAGTGTCACACCGCGGGACTCGACAGTCCCTCCTAATGTGGCCAATCTGCTGGCAGCGCAAACACCGCGGCGCTCTTCCGGTTGCCACAATAAGTGCGAGCTCTCCTCCAACTCGTAACTGGTGAGGTATATCGTCCAGCGTAACGTTAGCCTTTAGCCGTAGCGTCACGGTTCTCGTCATGGTATTCTGCTGGGTGTAGCCGTCAATTCGCCACTTATCCATTCCTACGTCAAGCACCGTCCCGTAGGGGGTCAGCGCATTTCGTACGTCCTCTTCTCGTACGTGGTAGAGCAACCAATGCAGCTTCAGACGGACGTCGCGGTGGCTTGGGTCGATTATCATGCATTTGAGGCCTTTCACAGTCAATTGCGGATCAGCTAAAAGTTTCTTTACACCTTCAGTGCTTCGGCACGTCACTGCCCACACGTGGTTCATTTGATAAGCGCCGAGCGCAAGAACCTCGGTGGGCTGAACACGTCGAAAAAGTGGCTCACGAAAGTCTTCCGCGTGATAAGGTCTTCCTTTTACATCCGCATGCAGAAAAACAGTGTTCTGAACCACATACCCAGTCGGCAGAGGGGGCAAAATAACAGCATAATCCTGAGGCATTTCAATCCTGGAACCGCGGCTAAACTGAGCCGCCGATGCCGCTCCTACGGAGCCCATGATACACACGTCCGCACGCTTTCGCAACCGGAAGTGGAATCGGGGTCACTGGGAAACACAACCGTTATCGATAGTTTCCACAAAAAATAAAGGTGGAAAAAATAAGAAAACTGAGCAACAGTCATTCATTACTGCTCCAGACAGTGCACCCCTCATGACCTAATTAAACTCTCATAAGCAAACAAAAAAACTGCACCGCCTTTGCCCCTGGTGAGGTTTGAACTCACGACCTTCAGATTATGAGACTGACGCGCTGCCTACTGCGCTATCGAGGCGGACAGGTGTCACTGGGAAACGCAACCAGTTTCAATAGTTCCCACAAATAAAGGTCGAAAAAGTAAGAAAACTGAGCAACAGTCATTCATTACTGCTCCAGACAGCGCACCCCTCACGACCTAATTAAACTCTCAGAAGCAAACAAAGAAACTGCACCAACTTTGCCCCGGGTGAGGGTTGAACTCACGACCTTCAGATTGTAAGACTGATGCTCTGCCTACTGCGCTACCGAGGCGGACAGGTGTCACTGGGAAACGCAACCGGTATCATTAGTTCCCAGAAGTGTAAGGTCGAAAAGGTAAGAAAACCGAGCAACAGTCATTCATTACTGCTCCAGACACCGCACCCCTCACGACCTAAATAAACTCTCATAAGTAAACAAGAAAACGGCACCACCTTTGCCACGGGTGAGGATTGAACTCACGACCTTCAGTATATGAGACTGACGCGCTACCTACTGCACTACCGAGGCGGACAGGTGTCACTGGGAAACACAACCGGTATCAATATTCCCACAAGTTAAAGGTCGAAAAAGTAAGAAAACTCAGCAACAGTCATTCATTACTGCTGCAGACAGCGCACCCTTCACGACTTATTTAAAATCTCATAAGCAAACAAAAAACCTGCACCGCCTTTGCCCCGGGTTAGGATTAACTCACGACCTTCAGATTATGAGACTGACGCACTGCCTACTGCGCTACCGAGGCAGACAGCGGTAACTGGGAGACGCAACCGGTGTCATTAGTTCCCACAAATTGAAGGTCGAAAAAATAAG